CATCTCGAGTCTTCGGGTTTTTCGAGTCGTTCGTTCATCACGTGACAGCTCCATAAGCCAAAACTCGAAGACTTGTCAGATAAGAGGTGGTGAGCTAATTATAGACTGAAGACTCAGGTAAACAATGAATTAATATTTTCTGTTTCTTATAGCAGTTTTGTATTCAGATGAAGTGGAGCGTGAACAGAGAAATATATGAAGCGTTCACCTCATAAGCGTATTCCATGCTAAATTCAAACGTTCGAACGACCGATCGATCGAACGTCTTGAGCTTTGACCTTCTTACACTGCGGGTGACCCACGTGACGCCAGCGTCTTGAAATTATTTTGCTACAAATATCCCACGGCGTCATGATGAAAATGCAATCCTAAGTGTTCTAACTGTTAGTCTAAATGCATTTAGGACAAATAGCATTTAAATGATCATTTTGCTACCATTTCTGCTTGAACATGTTACACATATCAAATCAATTTGTGTTATACATTTTCATTTTCATTTCGCAACTTCAAATTTCGCAACTTCAAGCGTTCAAATGTGCATGCAATTTACATATTAAGACTACTGTTGGAAATGGCAAATGTAAATTATATAATTTAATTTTCATTTTACTTTTGCACCAAACTTTGCACGTATGGGTAATGGAAAATGTAAATTTAAATACAGAAATACAATGCCATTTTGAATATTGCGTTGCCATTTTGCATATTGCATTTTAAATTGAATTTCGCTACCTATATGCTTCCATAGCAAATGACTCTAATATTAAATGTATATTCTGAGAAATTTACAATGTTTTCTGACCTTAGATGCATTTAAACCTGTTGTAGGGGACTCAAACACAATATTAGGACACTTTAAAATACCATATGACCTGCTCTTTAAGCTTTCTTGCCCTGTTTTGCACAATATTCATAAAAAATTTTTGAATATTTGCCAAGCTACTACAATCTACCACACTTTGTTCTCTGTTTTGCTTGAAACAACAGTTAACTATGCAAAATAGACTAATAAAATACTGACTGTTTATAGTAATGAAAAATAATCACTATGTATAGTATACTATATATTAAAAAATGTGCATAGGTCCTCAAAAACTTGCATAGTTTCCAGGCACTGAAGACTACTGTGAAGACTCATCACAAATCAAAACAGACTCACCCAGATTATGTTCAGTGAACTGCAGCAAACTGATTCCAGTATTGAAGCTTCCTGACAATGCAAACACAAGAGTGACTATTTCAGAATGTATCATGATTAAAGCAAAACTACTCTCCAGCCATGTTCAAACGTGCCAGTGGCCTCATCATATCGCTGAAGCCTCTTACTTTTTCGTGGGTATTCAGGAAGAGGGGGTACATGAAAGGTGCTACGCAGGAAGTGGATTGTAGACTTGTCTATGCTCTTCTTCTTGGCCGTTTCTTCCTCTGGAGGCTCCACCTGTGGATGTTCTTCATCTTTGGTCTTATGATTACCTTCAGACTCCAAGTCTTGGTCTACATCTTCCTCGCTCTCTTGCTCTCCCATAGCAGCACTGCCAATACTGTCCACTCCTTCGCTTCCTGACGTTTGCTGTAGACTCTCTTCTTCTGAGTTTATGTCAAAGAACTGGTCATCATCTATTACGTCGGAAGGTGTCGGAGGTATGAGGTTAATGACTGGTGGAGTGAGAAGACCACCATCTCCAACATTAGTGCTGCCAGAACTGTACAGAAGAGAGTCAACAGTAGAGTCGTCCTCACTGTTCTGGATCGCTCTAGACTGAAGCGGTAAAGAGGAAAGTGGTGCGAGCTTCTTCTTCAGAGCTGCTCTTTGGCACATGGACACAGAACTAGCAGAACGGCCCATGGTGATCTGGTGAGGTGGACCGCAGTGCTCAACTTCAGAAAGGCTAAATCCAGGGTTGTCTATTCCCAAATCTTCAACAACGATATGGACGTTCTCTTCATCCACAACAGCCTTGGGATTCTGTGGCTTTTCCTGATTGTACTCCAAGCGGTCGTTCTCACCCGTTTGGAAGCAGGAGCAACACAGGAACCTTTGTACAACACCGATGGTGTTTTCTCGCCTGGAATGTCGGTTATCCGCATGCTTTGCCATGTCCATCTCTACTTCCTCCCCATTCCCTGATGTTCACCAAAAGCCCTTCTGACACTCTCAGTCCCAGAAGAAACTAAAAGTCTGAGGATCAAAGAGAGATAAACATAGCTTTTTCACCTCTATCACCTAAACCTTCATTGAAAGGAAAACAGACCCACTCAAAGCATCATTATGCAAGCCTCTCTCACCGCAACCCTTCTAGCAGTAAAAAAATAAATCCTCTGTAGGTTGTTGCTTAGCAGTGGCCTGAAAGAGAACAGGATGAGGCTTTATGCTTTGGCTCAGATGAATACTTGAGATGAATGCTAGTTTCAATTAAGGGCCTTTCATATGGAAAATACTAAGGACACTGCTCTACCCTCAAAGAGATGTGTGAATAAAATTAAGAACATAGCTGACCTTACCGATGTGTACATAGAAAAATTACAGTTCATTTAGCACTATATGAAACTATATGATAAACTGTAGTAGTTATGGTACAACTGTGAAATCTGTTCTACCTACAAAGTTGCTGTGTTTTGCTAAACTATGCGGCTAATGCTAAGCATTCAGGATCACCTGATACCCTAGGAAGTTACTAAGAATGAACACAATTTGTCTGGTTATAATGTTCTTCTCCTTCATTTGATCATTTTTGAGTTATTATTGAGAAAATGAGCACAAAAAAATCTAGTTTAAAGAAAATTTAGCAATAGCTCAATGGTAATTGCACCAGGTTTTATTTTGTGAATAAGGTGCACTCTATAATGAGCGTAAGTACACAAAGCAGGCGTGTTTACATCAAAATAAATGACAATGACTTAATTTGAATGTGGTATTTTAGCACATCTGGCTAAACTGGACTGCAGGAAGTTGAGTAAATCGCAAGTTTTTGCACTGAAATACAGATTCATAATTTGAGATGCTACCATTCAAATTTATTTTAAAGAAATTCATTTTATTCAGCAAGGATGCATTCAATTAATTAAAAAGTGACAGTGAAGTCTGGAATAAATTAAATTTTTAACTATTAAAATAAAATAAAAAAACAGTAATTTAAATTGTAATATTTCATAATATTAATGTTTTACTGTATTTTGACCAAAATAATGCAGCCTTGGTGGGGGAAAAAAACTTTCCAACCCCAAACATTTAAACGATCATGCATAATGTAACGTGTTGCCTTATCTGAGTTACGACTGCAAAGAAGAATTACAGTACAAGGAATATACTGTACATTGATAAAACACAAAAAAATATTGCTGTTAGAGGATTGCTTTTGTATAACCTTAATATTTCAGGGCCAATAAAATGCCTGCAAGCACAAATCATAATGTTTTAAATTTTAATTATCACCAATGCTTTTGAGCACAGTAGGAGCAGAAAGAACTGCCAGCACTGTATCAAGCACTCCATGCAGAAGAAAAGGTCACCATGCTCCAGTACTTTTTTTAAGAGCCAGCTGTTAAGCCCGTTGATCAAAGGCTCCACTGATATTTATATATGTATTTAAGCAAAAACATTTGTGCACAATAAAGGATGACATGGTTGGCTGTGCAGTAACTGTGTTGCATGACTAAGCATCCATCACAGCTAGTTCAAGACAAGAATCTGCATGTTGCTTCCTACATTTCCAGCTGATTTTGTGGGACGTTCTGCGGAATTTATTTAGAAATGGAAAGATATGTTTAACACAGCCAAGAAAAGGTTAGTATAGTAGTCAACATTTGAAGTGGATCAAAAAAGTTCATCAAAGTTGTCCTAAGACAAGAACGCATTTTGGTTTTAGGTTTTAGGACAACTTTGATTAAAGGTTTTGATCCTCTTCAAATGTTGACTAGTGTATATCCCAACTGAAAATGTAATCAAATTAGCCAAAATGTTTAATAAACACATAAGGGGCAAGGGATTTATAAAGGAGTTGTAGGCCTAGTCATAACCATGCAAAGAAGTGGAATCAACACTTTTATGTACACTGACAAATGGGATTTACAGGAACCCGATGAAAACCACACAATAGAGAGTGTCAACTACTATGCTGAGAATGTACTGGGGTGCATTTTCATGATTTCAACTCTCAAGGTTTTTTACTGAAAACTATTTTACCCATATATTACATTTTTGAGAAACAATTGCACAGTGGCTTTTATGTACGTCATTCCCTTTTCTTGGCAAGTTGCTTTTCCAGGCTCATAAAAAGAGCAACTGGTACAATAACTGTTTCTAATCAGCAGAGCAGGTCAGCGGGAATAAGATTTGCTATAAAATAATTACTCATCATGTTCTGTATTTTACAGTATAATGATATTTTCATGCCCATATTTTCATTAACAGGATTATACGATACCGCAATGAAATATACAAATTTTAAATGAGCAAAAATACAATTCAATTAAAACATTAAATACAAAATAAAAACAAAATAAAGCAACTACTACACATTCTGTCATTTTTAGCAGCACAAACATTTACTTCAGCCATCTTGCAGTTCAATCTTCATCAAGCTGCTTTCGCAATAATGGCAATTAACTTGCTATTAAGGAAATATGGCAACTGTCAGACTGCAGCTATCTGTCAGGAACCCACAGTCAACAGAGGCAGAGTGTGTTCCTTCAAGGCTGCGGTAGCTCTTAAACTTTTAATGGCTTTGAGCATCTTTCAAAGACTTTGAGTTCAAGCTTGACTACTTTTTCCTTTCATCCCCCTTCCAGCTTCCAAAATCCAGCACACACGTTCACATCCCAGACTGTTAAAGAACTAGAACCCTACTGGGGTCTCATTTCAGGAAACCTGGTGGAAACACCTCTGACAGATCTCTGAGAGTCAGTCAAACTCATTTAGATGACCAAATTGTACTGTGTTTAGTTTACATTTTGTATTTTAAGCTGTATCTGTGCACAATAAGAAGACAGAGGATTCCCTACGGTTGCCACAGAGTGTCACTAGCGTGCAGATGTTCTGCTATCAGAGTTGAGGGAAGGAGAGGGAGAGGCGAGTTTTGCAACTTGGCATTCCATTTTTTGGGTCGTGTTACTGAGGAAACACACAAATGCTTTTCATTTACCGCTCAGCAAAACAGATACGGCATGATACCTTAATCAAATATTTGTAGCAAAACCAATTTTCCCCTTAATTTCTTTTACACGATATTCAAACGCCATTTGAAAACAGCTGCAAACTGAACGCTCTCTTGCACTGTCAAACATTTTCATGCAAAAGCTTTTGCCAAGAGCTCATATTTCAGATGAGCAAAAGCAAAGATGTTTCACACTAATTTCTCTTGTAATGAGCTAGCGTAACACATTCCGCACTAATGAAGTAATGTTAATCATTTTAAGGGGTTGGCTATATATATATCTTATATAATGAGATTCTCTTAGGCACTGGTCCTAAATACATGCAATAAATACATTCTTCATGGCAAATGAGGAGAGGGGTACTATCCCCCTTCAACTATTTCCCAACTTTTCTCTTTCGAAGCCTGTTTTCTTTTGGTTTTGACTGCACTCGCTGCCACAGAGCATGAGAGAGAGAGAAAGAGAGAGGCAGATCCAGGAGAGGGCCCAGACTCCCAGCCAAGAACAACAGTGAGTTTCAGCACTGTCAGAAAGGGCTACTCGCTAAAGAAAACTGCAGCACGGTTTTTAACACTCTCCAACATATTGAACATTTCCTGTGTTGCTCGTGTTTCCCAGGCCTCAAAAACTATAGGCAATGGATTCCTTAATTGCCTTTTTTCTAGGAATTTGCCTAAATAACAACCATATGTATGGAATCAAATGATCAGCAGTTTACATTGTTTAATCAAATGACGATTATACATAATATTTGTTTAAGATAGCGACAGCAAACGAGAATAAATAAAAAGACAAAACAAAGCAACATGGATATATTTGTATAAAATGCCAGTGTTGCTTATTCTATCATTATAAGCAACCTTTAGCTATTATAAATAAATAGATAAATAATATCACAGTTGCGAACTATATTATCGCCCAGTGATATACTAAAAGTTGGATATATAGTACAACATAATTTGCCAGCATATATACACGTAAAACAATATATACTATAGCAAATCCCATCTGTAAACTATATTAATTGCACAGCTCTATATATAAAGTTTGATTCAACTTTGTCCGCGTACATACAGTATACTTGCATAGGGCGAAATATATACTATCAAGCAAACCACAACTGCTCGATTTCTTGTTTTACTGCAAAGTGTAAAATATAGTATCGTCCGGTACTAAATGCAACTAAAATGCATGAAGATTTTAGGATGTTTTAAACATTAATGTCATAGTTTTCTATAAAGCTGCTTTTAAACTGTGCATTGTGAAAAACAAACAAATAAAATGGGCTTATTTTCAGTTGTGTAAGCCTATTTTGGTGAGGTGAGTCGCTTGTGGGTTTGTTTTGCCAGACCAGCGATACCGATCTACTGTAGTGAGATCTGGCAATACTGCATGACGGTTAAAGATTTGGATTTCTAGCATCCTTTCCCACTGACGCATAATCCAGAAATTAGAGAGTTACTGAGATGCCAGTACTCTTTGGCCTTGAGCAAGCAACTAACCAATACTGTTCACCTAGAGAATAATTAGCATGACTAGTGCGAGACTATCCTTCAAATTATCATTCACAAGTTCACAAAGGCTTAAGCACAAGACTCAACTCGTGCTCTCAAGTTCCTCTCCTGGACGCAATTATAGAAATAAAAATTGGAGTCTGTGCGGTGGAGGGATGGTGGACAGATTTTTGCAGGAGTGAGGTTTATCTGCCATGTTGTGATTCGGGGGATTAAATGAACACGTGATTATTTTTTTCTGGAATTCTGCTCCTGTAAATGACTCTCTGTTAAAAAAATAAATAAAATCTTCTTAACACAATATTTTGAAAAGTGCTCGATGCAAATGTCATTGAACGTGACAGGGGTAAATACAAAGTGCATTAAACAACATCCACATAAAAGCTGCAAAATAAGGAGCATACGAAGAAAAAAATCAATGACAAGGCCAAAGCAT